AAGTGGAAACTTAAGACTCAAGTGAATCACAAAGATGTCAGAAAAAAGATGGTTTCAGCGCCGGTCATAAGTAGTAAGGATCAGATGACGAATTCCTGATGCTAACTCACAACTCAATTTATTGTTGAGGAAAACGTTGACAATGACCCGAGCATCGAGCATGTACAGAGCTGAAGGTCTGGCTAAGGAATATTGCTCGACCCTGCATCCACAACTTGGTGATTACGATTAGCTGAGTACTATTAAGTTTCACCACACTGTGTGAGGTGAACACTCAAGAATTGTTCATTTTAGCCACACCGTGTGAGGTGAAAACACAAACTGTTCACTGTGAACACACGATGTTGTTGTTTTAGATTTAGCTACTCAAAATGAAATGTCCATGTAGCACGGGCTATGGCGAGCCCGTAATTGAGTTCTGTTATTCGCGATAACCTTGTTACTCTGATATTTTGGGTCAAAGTTTTTAAATGGAGGTAGGGTTTCCTCCTTTTTCGCTTCTGTTTTAGTGCACTGGTTTTAGTCTTTTATTAATAACATTATCTTGGTGGCGGATATAGATGCAGAATGCTCCCTAGTAAGTCCCATTCCTCAACGGCTTTTCTAATCATTGTAGTGGCTGTGGAATGTGCATCTAATGCAGCTGCTGTCGTTGGATTAATGTTGAGTTTGATGCGCAGGGGTTCAGTAGCTTCACATTCTAGTAAGTAGTGCAATAGTGGCGCCTCTGCTTCTGTTTCACAGATGTGACACTCTTTAACTATTGGCTTTATTACCTCCCAGCAGCACTTGTAACCAAGTCTGAGTCTGTGTATGGCTACTGCAATGTCTCTGGATATCTTTTTGCCAGGCTTCAAAGAGGAGTACCCATAGTGGCTTGTTTGTACCATATCGCAGTGGATCTTCCTTCCGCTACTTTGGCTCTGTGGCGACTTTTGATAGTTGGGAGTATTTTTTTCTTGATTTGCTCCTTAAACTGTGAAAAACTTGGGAGGTATTTTAACCTGTACAACAGGTAGAGCAGTGGCAGTTTTTGCTAGTGAGTCTGCCTTTTCAATACCATCTATGCCAATGTGACTTGGTATCCAATTTAGGGTGAGTGACAGCCCTAGATTATGGGCTTCTTTTCCTATATGTAGGATTTCTGTGAGTTGTATATTATCTCTGTGCTGACTGGATAACAATGCCTGGAGCGAAGATTTAGAGTCGGTATGAATGATGACATCATGTAAATTATTCTCAACTGTATAGTTTATGGCCTTCTTCAGGGCATATAATTCTGTTGGCACTGTTGAGCTCCCACTCTCCAGGCTCCAGTAAGCTTCATGGATGTTAGAAACACACGTGACCACACCGTCTCCGGGAGACAAATACCTCGCCACGACAACAATAACAACTCACTGGGGAAATCACTGAGACAAGACCTCTGAAGAGAGAGGCGAGGGTTGGTGCAGTCACGGTATGGGCAGCTGCCTCACCAACCAGTGGTGGAGGTCTGGTGCTGTCATGGTATGGACGGAATACCTCACCAACCAGTGGTGGAGGTCTGGTGGTGTCATGGTATGGACGGAATACCTCACCAACCAGTGGTGGAGGTCTGGTGAAGTCATGGTATGGACGGAATACCTCACCAACCAGTGGTGGAGGTCTGGTGGTGTCATGGTATGGACGGAATACATCACCAACCAGTGGTGGAGGTCTGGTGAAGTCATGGTATGGACGGAATACCTCACCAACCAGTGGTGGAGGTCTGGTGGTGTCATGGTATGGACGGAATACCTCACCAACCAGTGGTGGAGGTCTGGTGGTGTCATGGTGTGGACGGAATACCTCACCAACCAGTGGTGGAGGTCTGGTGGTGTCATGGTATGGGCAGCTGCCTCACCAACCAGTGGTGGAGGTCTGGTGCTGTCATGGTATGGACGGAATACCTCACCAACCAGTGGTGGAGGCTTGGTACAGTTACCTATATTTACACTGCAATTTTTCTTTATTTTTTTACTCGATAATCAATATGAGGAAAGGTTTTTGTATAAACTTCAGGTCTTAAAAGATTAATAATACGTTTAAATGCAATTCTGTATATCCAAGATAGATTATATAGTATTTTCTATAAATAAAATTTGTTGTTTTATCTATATTTTTAAATCGATTACAGACATGAAACTCATAAAACCCATTTCCACGTTGATACAAGAATCTGATATATGGAGGAACATCATATATTAATCACTTGCATCAAGAGTTGAACAATTTATAGGGCAAATAAAAATCACGTCATTTAATCCATCGGTACTGAGTCCTATATACAATACGAGATATGTCTCACTGTCCCATCACTCACCCATCTACACTGCCACAGTGATATACCACTGTCACAGTGGCTGGTAGTGTGCAGGAGGTAGGAGTGGCATTATTCCACCGATACCTACACTGTCACCCCTTTACACTGTTTCACTTTCAGCCCACTGTACTGTTTCAGGGTTCCTCTGTTCCACCTCTGTATACGTCTCACTGTCACACCTCTACATTCTCAGCTGATCATAACATCACTCATATATTCCACAATTTCTCACTACACAGTATCAATAAAAAACCATCATCATCCACTTATGTTTATTGTAATACTTAACACAGTAGTTATAACATCACAACCCTTATGCCTCGACATTATTTACAATAGTTACAACTTAACGCATCTGTGTACTTAATACCTTCTAACATCCGGGTATCAGGATTGGACACTGGTCATGAGTATTCGTTAGTCATTGGTTGATCCAAGTGTCCCTAACTGCTTCATCTTCCCTGTGAGGCAGGTGTCATTTTAGGTCCTGCTTCAGTTTAAGGGTCAGGTCAGTCTAGGCAGACTAAGGTCAATACTCTGCTGAAGGGTCAGCCTCAGGGTACGGTCACTCTCATTCGAGGGTGATCTCAAATTAAAGTCATCCTCAGACTCAGGTCAGCATCAACTCTAAGGTCATTTGGGTCATGGTGATTAGACAGTTATCAACGTTAGTCAGTGAGATAGGTCAGGCACTAAACAAGGTCAGACAGTAATCAGGGGTCAAGTGGTGATCACCTCAGGTCACCAGCCTCTTGTGTGACGTAAGAGGAAGAACACTTTATGTTTAAAAAAACATAACTTAAGAAGCTCTTAAATTACTACATATATTCATCTTCATAAATATAATACTTAATTATTTAAATAAGTCATTAATACTGCTCATGCTGCATAATTATGCAGATGTATTTTACCATTCGCTTTTAATGAAAGATTATCTCATTACTAAATTATTTTAATCGCATTCGTTGCGTTACAACAACGAGAGATCTCCTTATTTATCAGCTAATGAAGCACCTGTCTACTTAAGACACTAAATATCTACTCTACATCAAAAGCCACTGGCACATCTGTCATCGTAAGTCACTGCTACACCTCAACTACCACACAACCCTCTACACTAGTACATCTGTCATCGTAAGTCACTGCTACACCTCAACTACCACACAACCCTCTACACTAGTACATCTGTCATCGTAAGTCACTGCTACACCTCAACTACCACACAACCCTCTACACTAGTACATCTGTCATCGTAAGTCACTGCTACACCTCAACTACCACACAACCCTCTACACTAGTACATCTGTCATCGTAAGTCACTGCTACACCTCAACTACCACACAACCCTCTACACTAGTACATCTGTCATCGTAAGTCACTGCTACACCTCAACTACCACACAACCCTCTACACTAGTACATCTGTCTACATAAGCCACTGCTACATATTGACTACCACAAACCCTATATTAGTACATCTAATATGTACCAATTAATTACCATGTTATCAAATATAACCTCACCTACTACACAAGCTAAAATTGCTGCACAGCCACATCAGGAGAAAAACAACAGTGGAGAAATAGGTAATGAAGCTGAGGATAGGGGCAGGCGGATTCACTACAAACGACAAGGAAGTGTGCGAGGAGCTCAATAAGAAATTCCAGGAGGTCTTCACAGTAGAGCAAGAAGAAGTCCGAGAGATAAGAGAGGCAATATCTACCAAGCACCACTAGAGGAGTATGTGATTACCAGGAGGGAGGTGAGGAAGCATCTGCTAGAGTTGGAGGTGACAAAGGCTATAGGCCCGGATGGAATCTCACCATGAATACTAAAGGAAGGAGCAGAAGCACTGTGCCAGACACTCTACATGGTGTATAATAAATCACTGGTAACAGGTGAACAGCCAAAAACTTGGAAGACGGCTAATATAGTCCCGTTATTCAAGAAGGGTGATAACTTGGAAACACTGAACTACAGGCCAGTGTCCCTAACTTGCATACCATGCAAGATGATGGAGAAGATTGTGCGAAAAAAGCTAGTGGAACATCTGGAAGGGAATGGAACTATCAGGGGAAAGCGACAAGCCATTACGACTATATAACACTGGGTAAGGCTCAGGAAAAGTATTTGAGATGGGACGGGGAGAAGGAATAGTGCCCAACCACTTCGACGGTCGGGGATTGATCGCCGACCTGCATGAAGCGAGACCGTCGTTCTACCGTCCAGCCCAAGTGGTTGAACAAGCTGGAGCAAAATAACTTTGTAACACAACATCGGCATGGGTTCAGGGATGGCAAATCATGCCTCACAGGATTAATTGAATTCTATGAACAGGCAACAAAAATTAGGCAAGAAAGAGTGGAGCGGGCAGACTGCATATTTCTAAATTGCCAGAAAGCCTTTGACACAGTACCACATAAGAGACTAGTGCACAAGCTGGAGATGCAGGCAGGAGTGAAAGGGAAGTACTCCAATAAATAAGGGAGTACCTAAGCAACATAAGACAGCGAGTCACTGTGAAGGGTGAGGTCTCGGAGTGGCGAGGAGTCACCAGTGGAGTCCCACATGGATCAGTCCTTGGACCTATACTGTTTCTTATATATGTAAATGATCTTCCAAAGGAAATAGACTCCTTCCTCACAATGTTTGCTGATGATGCAAAAATTATGAGGAGAATTAAGACAGAGGAAGATAGTATGAGGCTACAAGATGATCTAGACAAACTGAAGAAATGGTCCAACAAATGGCTACTAAAATTCAACCCAAGTAAATGTCAAGTGATGAGACTAGGCGGAGGAAATACCAGGTCAGACACTAGATATCGAGTGGGAGACGAAGTCCTGCATGAAACTGACAGAGAGAGAAAGATCTAGGAGTTGAAATTACGCCAAACCTGTCTCCTGAAACCCACATCAAAAAGAATAACATCAGCGGCATATGCAAGGCTGGCTAACATCAGAACTGCCTTCAGAAACCTGCGGGACCAAAGAGCCGAAGCTCATATAGAAGCAGCACAACTAGGTAAGTTCAAGCCACTGTACTAGCATACTTCCTGACCTGAAAATTCATGCACTTCAGAATTGTTTAATCGTTTCTGTAGAATTATCACAATGAAGAGAGAGAGCTGTTAGTCAGACATAATAGCTTTGTCTGTTCTGGTATAGGTTACCTCTGTTAGTATGAAAAGTTATATTTAGCTCTGTCCTAGTGAGAATTTCTGGATGAATTATGTATAACTATGCTGGTGTGGTTCCTCTGTATGATTATGTATAGTTATATCCTGGTGTGGTTCAGTTGTATGTGTATGTATATCTCTGTCCTGTTGTGGCTCATCTATACATATATATGTATGGAGTCCTAGTCAGTCATTAGACAATCCAATGGGTCCTCAAGGTATCTATATTATATCTGAAGCAAATTTGCTATATTACAGTATTGCAGGATATATATTATTTATATAATTATTTATATAGGTAAGCATGCTTGACCGGAAGCTCAGGATTATATCTCTCTCACTACTATATTAAAAATAATCCATAATCAAAACAATCATTGCAAAAACCTAATTTTCGTTTGAAAGTTTAAGCATATGAGAGAGAGAGAGAGAGAGAGAGAGAGAGAGAGAGAGAGAGAGAGAGAGAGAGAGAGAGAGAGAGAGAGAGAGTTAAGTCTTGGTGACGTCCTCAGTCTTGAGGGCTGAAGTCAGGATGTTGGTGATGCTTTCAATGTTGACATCGTCGTCGTTCTCCTGTACGGAATAAGGACCATTAAAACCACTACAATAATCAAACAAGTCGCCTTTTATTGCCACTAGTCTGTCATTATTATTACTACTACTATTGCCATTACTACTGCTGTTAGTACTAGTAAAACTATACAGTTCTACTTAAACACTCCTACTTAAATATCAACCTCTGGATTGACTTATGAGATAACAACCGTACTAGAAACCAACCAGCTAATGACCATGTATTAGAAAAGAATAGCCATATATCTCATTCAAATAAACCACTCACTCTAACTATATTCCTTTATTCCACCATAACCTCTTGATGTTTAGCATCAATTAACATCAACATTAAAATTCTCTTATAATGTCATTTTCAATGCAGTTAGCTGTTAGTCGCTCCTTCACCTGTCATTCCCAACGCGGTTAATAAACCTCCTTGTGAGCTACTCACCTGGATCTTCTGTAGGGCGTTCCTGACGATGCAGAGGTCACCCCGCAGCTCCGACACCATGGCTGCGATCTTCTCGGCGCTGCTCAGGATCTCTACACTCTGAGTGTATGGGTTGTACCGCACTCCGAACGGTCGCTGGATCTTGGATACATAGTCCCTGCGGGAATGAGGAATGTGAGAACGAGAGAGCGAGAGAGTAAGAGAGCGTGAGTGAGCGAGAGCGAGAGAGTAAGAGAGCGTGAGTGAGCGAGAGCGAGAGAGTAAGAGAGCGCGAGTAAGCGAGAGCGAGAGAGTAAGAGAGCGAGAGAGAGACCAGAAACTGTTAGGAAGTTACGTCGACCTGTTGGCTTCTCTTCTCTCCCTCCTTTACCAACTAAGTCTACCTCATTGTGTACGACCTTCCAGTATTTTTGATCATCGGTTTCTGCATATTACGGTCTCAGGAAAGGTAGTTATGCTGCTGCTTTCTTGTTAAACCTCTCCACTAAATGGCATCAATCGTTGAATGAATCCAAGATCAGCTGTGAGATTGCACTGGACATTGCAGATGCTTTTAACAGGCTGTTGCACCACGGACTGCACCACGGACCGCACCACGGTCTGCACCACGGACTGCACCACGGACTGCACCACGGACTGCACCACGGACCGCATGCTTAGCTACAAGAACTTTGAATCTCAGGCTCCAGTCTACAGCAAATATGGGACTACTTTAAGACCGGACTAAAAGCAGTCTTTAATACAGCAGGTTTGGGAGCTTTGTTCCTTATTGTGGAATGTTGACTTCAACGATCTATTACACTTCAGCTCTACTACCCTACGCTGATGAGTACACTACTCTTTATATATAAAAAGAGGAAACGTCAACTGGTACGAATTCATTAATGAAAACTTTCAGAAATTTCGTCGTAGAGTTGTCAATGGCAGGATCGCCACAGTTAGATTGCATAATATTCTCCATGAACAGACATTCACATGAGTTGGAAAAGTATTCAGTGATGAAGTTGATTAGGGGATGAAGTCTAACACTTCAATGGCCATGAAGAATCTCATTGTGAACCTAGCAAGCAAGCAAGCAAGCCATCCAAGAAGCTTACAGCTCTACGACACATATAATATCTTTTCCCCAGTAGAGGTTGCTACATTATATGAAGCACAGGTTTGTTCCAGTCTTGAAAATGTCAAGCTGTCGCTTTAATGTGTCGCTCTCCGTCGTTTATCCGAATTCTGGACAAAGAAGAAAACCTTGCAGGAAGACTTGTCTCTAGTCTTGACCCGGTCCGGATGGACTGACCAAAACAACACAGCCCCTCAACATCGCAGAGATATTCGCGACATTACCTTTATGTATTAGGTCAATATTCTTAAGATTCCTCCACCTGGTCCAACGGTGAGGACAACCAGAAGTTGGCAATCACAACACAAGGCGTTCAGCCATTATCAGCCTCATGCTGGCTGTACCAATGATGAACATTATCGATCTGAACAAATCCACAAGGGGCCGTGTCGAGGGTTCGAACCTACGTCCGAGAACAAATCAGAATCTAGGGTCAAGTTTCATATGAACTGATGTAAGATAACAGAACCTAGGAATAGTTTTGGGGCAAGTACAAATATTACTGGGAGCATTAGGTTAAAAGAATATTGATAATCATATCAGCATTATCCTAAAACATCATTAATAATGACCATATTAATGTCCCTCACTTTGTCTCTATCTGTGCTTCCTAATCTACCACGTTCCTCCTTAACCTTTGCTTCCTGTCATACCTAAGCTTCTTGCCTCATCAAAGCTTCTTCTCTGGTTTTCCTGATCTTCTCTGCCTAAACTTCTTACCCCTATCAGAACGTCTCTGCCTCACCTGAGCATCTCCTTGGCCTCTTCGAAGGTGTCGGTGAAGAAGTACTGGTCCTGGAAGGTAGTGACGAGGCAGGTCACTTTAGAGACTGTCTCGGGATGGAAGGGTTCAACCCTGGCGGCGGGTGAGAGGGAGTGGGTCAGTTCACCGATGCTGGAGAGAAGCCCCGCACCGTACACCTTCAGCTTGCCTCCCTGTGGGGAACACCAGCATTACACTGTGTCAAGATTCTGTCAAAACATGTCAATTTCAGGCAAGGACAACGACCCTATCTGTCATGTTCCAGTTTTTCCCTCCAGTTAAAATTGCGCAGTTAAATGTTCAACGGTTGCCCTGAAGGGGGTTATTAACAAGTCAAACAGGTAGAGTTACATGAAGCCAACGGGATTCATGACAGTTGGAAGGATACCAAACATGATACATTTCGCACGAATGATCATGAACCAGGTAGGACAGGACATGAATCCTAAGCTTAAGAACTGATTCTGCCAGGTCAGATAGGGGGTCAGGTCAAACAATAGGGAGCCACAGGCACAGTTGAAGCAAGCTTAATGCTGAAACATCAGTGTATATTGACGTTTCTGATGACTATGATGAATATATATACCAGGTATCAAGTATAACTGCAATTACAGACGCAGGTAAGCTTACGAATGCAGAAACAGGTAACAGTGTTGGTACTGGAGTAGGGACGGCTGCGAGTACAAGTACAGATAATGATACGAGTACAGGCACTATAAGCATACAGGTTCAGGCAAGAATACAAGCACAGCTTATAGAAGGGCGCTAATCTGTGTTATCTATATACTAAAGTTATAATCAGGTGTTATAATCAAAATATCTGGGATACTCTGCAAAACTTTCAACACCACCCAATGAGTGAGAATAAAGCCAAGAACGAATGAATAATGCAGTAAGCTACGAAGAAAACAGCAGCAGCTTGCTCTACGGATATCAGGCGGCCTTATACCATGTCACAGCTACATGCCAGAGTGAAGAGACGGGGGAAGGGGAAAGCTGGATAGGAAGGGGGTCAACCAAGACAATGTATTCGAATATATTACCAGGAAATCCTGTAACATTCTATTACAGCATTTCCTGGAACAACGCAGTTAGCCGCTGGAGCTCTGTGATCAGGGCGTCCACACACACCATGAGACAGTCTCGAGCTATGAACTGCCAAATGAAAAATGAGTTGCCAAGACAGGAGGAAGTAACAGTGCGAGCCTAGATTGACAGGTCACACGTTGGCATCCGGGGCTCGGCTGGCCGCTGGAGGAGCCTGAGGGAGGGACGCCCGAGGTCCTCCACCTGTAGTGTGGATCAGAACGTGACTCTGACGGACTTCTCTGAGGTAAATGTCACGGTTCTGAGAATTGGTGTTTAGTTATCAGGATGAATTGTAGCTGGGATGAATTAGTGACATCGTGAAGCCATTAGTGACATCGTGAAGCCATTAGTGACACCGTGAAACAATTAGTGACATCACAAGACTATTAATGATATCATGAAGCTGTTAGTGACATCATGAAGTTCCTAGTGATGTCATGAAGCCGGTACTGACATCTGCACGATATATATAATCATTTCAAGTGCGATATCTTTACGATATCTGAGACATCACGTCACGGAGGTGCGACTTCGTAAGCACTCAACACAGGCAAGGCAACCATTACTGTTATTTATTACAATACTGTTATTGGTAAGGATACGGTTACATAATCAGTACGAATACAGGTAAAGGATCAACAAGGATACGCCCACAGCATTAGCAAGGATACAGCTACAGGATCAGTAAGGATATGGTTACAGAATCAGGCATATAAAAAGGTATGAAAATAAATAAGGATTGGGTATTGATATGGCTACAGAATTAGTAAGGATATGGTACTGGCTCAGGATACAAGCGTATTGGTATCTACACATGTAACTACAAATGCAGCCAAGGCACCGGGTACAGGTATGGGGTAAGGGTACAGATACAGGACTGGGAATAGGATAACAATGCCACCTGGATGAACCTCTTACCTCCTTGCACAGCCCAAACTCCACAGTGAAGAAGTACAACTGAGGGTGAAGAGAGAGAGAACATAATAATATGTACTGGTGTTGATAATATATATATATATATATATATATATATATATATATATATATATATATATATATATATATATATATATATATATATATATTATATATATTTATACACAACCCGTTCTCGCACTTACAGTCAATATTGACTTATTAAATAAGTGCATATGTGACATACTAATTTATTGTGAGTATTTTAGTTTACCTTGAAAAGCTTCATAGAAAACACCGACCTTACCTAACCTTCTTAGTATGTTAAGATAAGCATCTTATTGCTTCGTAATTACAATTATTACTTAACCTATTATAGGTATAGGTATATAGGCATTTTGCAACTAGATAGGAAAGGTAGGATGATTGTGTGCTTCCTTGGGGCTGCTGGGATGCGTGATGTACTCGATAGGATAACATCTACAGAGATAACTGCAACCGTCTTCCCCCCTTCACCCATACATACTGTCAAGGACTATCTGCTCACCGTGGCTATCTTCTGCAAGTCTTCGTCGTTGGCACCCAGGGAGGCTAGACCAATTTCCTGCGAGAACTGAGCGAAGGAAGGGCAGGCAAGCATAGGCATGTGCCCCAGTAGCTCGTGGCAGCAATCCCTGAGGGCAGACAGCAAGGAATAGTCTTAAAACAACGCAAAATAACACAGATTAGGTATCTACTAATCTACAGATTAGTAGACTGATTAGTAGAGCTTGTTGGGGGGAAGACATGCGCACAGAAAATGTAAACAAAAGTCTCTTAATAGAGTATTTTCATTGTTTGGGGGGGGGAAGATTTGGGATTTAGAAACGGTGCTTAACGCGTGGAATATTGCATTTATTATTTCAATACAAAAACTTGGGTTGCAGAGTTGGATTGGTGGAGTCTTAGGTGGATTCAGGGATACAAAAGTACATGTTCTGAATGCAGGCTACATCAGATCAGTACTCGAAGTTTAGAAGTGAATGCAGTCTACAAAGAGCTGCATTCTGTGGTGAAAGCAGATTACTAAGGAGCGTACTCACGGCTCTGGAATGAGTGCAGGCTACTGGGGATATGTACTCACGGCTCTGGAATGAATGCAGGTTAATGGGGGTTGTACTCACGCATCTGGAATGAGTGCAGGCTACTGGGGGGTTGTACTCACGCATCTGAAATGAGTGCAGGCTACTGGGGGGTTGTACTCACGCATCTGGAATGAGTGCAGGCTACTGGGGATATGTTCTCACGGCTCAGGAATGAATGCAGGCTACCGGGGATATGTACTCACGGCTCTGGAATGAATGCAGGTTACTGGGGGGTTGTACTCACGGCTCTGGGGTGTAGAAGGGGTCGGAGGAGTGACGGATGTACTGTGTACAATGGAACACCCTGAAGGCCAGTCCCGCCAGGAAGTCCCGCGGGCTGAGGTACCCAGCCACAGGCCGTAGCGAGAACCCCGTGGTGCCTGTAGGGGGACACCAACACGCGTCACCAAGAGGACACCACCTGAACACATCACCAAGAGGACACCACCTGAGCACATCACCAAGAGGACACCACCTGAGCACATCACCAAGAGGACACCACCTGAACACATCACCAAGAGGACATCACCTGAACACATCACCAAGAGGACACCACCTGAACACATCACCAAGAGGACACCACCTGAACACATCACCAAGAGGACACCACCTGAACACATCACCAAGAGGACACCACCTGAACACATCACCAAGAGGACCCCACCTGAACACATCACCAAGAGGACACCACCTGAGCACATCACCAAGAGGACACCATCTGAGCACATCACCAAGAGGACACCACCTGAGCACATCACCAAGAGGACATCACCAAGAGGACACCACCTGAACACATCACCAAGAGGACACCACCTGAGCACATCACCAAGAAGACAACACCTGAGCACATCACCAAGAGGATACCACCTGAACACATCACCAAAATAACGTTCACCAACTGACAAACACATACATCAGGAAAGCAATAGCAGCGCTTATAAGTTAACCATAACAAAACTTTATTTAGCACAGCATCCCCCACATAACGCATTTGCAACCCAGAACTATAAATGTTCAAAACGAACATTTACGAATGACAGCCATGATTGAATTCGCGACCTGCAATGAAAACCTTCACCCTTCTGTTCGAAGTTCGAACGCAAGCAACACTTAGTGCAATCAATTGTTGCAGATCACACAGCGATAATAAAGTGCTTTATCACCCCCTTCCCCCCACTCCCTGGCTGCCTATTGAGGTAAATAGGGGGGAGTTGTGAGGTCAGAATAGTGACGAAGTCATCCTACCCCTTTACCTTGATCACAACCTTGATATTTACCCCTAATTATCTTTTCCTTAATCTGTCTCTTCCCTCGTCTTCTGCACCAGCAAGATCTTGCTCTATCTATCTGTGTTGCGTTTGAGGAAGCTCTTTCTTACAAGGGAAAAGTCATGTTCAGTAAAATTTACTTACAACCTAGCAATATACACCATATATACACCACAAAGTTTATTCCCAACTTAGCAATATACACAATAAAGTTTACTCTCAACATTCACCTTAAAGTTTACTTCTAAAAATTGCACTTTACATCATAAAGTTTACTCTCAACATAAACCATAAAGATTGTTCTCAGCATAGCAACATTTATTATAACGTTTAATCTAATTATCATAGCGGCACATTGCACAAGGTTTACTCTCAACATGGCAACATGTTTCACGAAGTTTACTCACAACATGGCAACATGTTTCACGAAGTTTACTCACAACATGGCAACATGTTTCACGAAGTTTACTCACAACACATGAGGGAAGAAACACTTACGTTTCAGATACTTGTCTATGTCAGCCAGCTGGGGAATGTTGTCCTCCCTGGGGGGGGGGGGAATATATTGGTTATATTAAATTGGCGTCATCATACGTTTCAGGTGTTTTTGGCACCGTGTTTATCTCAGGTGTTTTTAGATATACTTTTTATCACAGATGTTTTTGAAAACCTTGCCTCACCTGAGTCCCTTGCTTCCCTCACCTGTGCCCTTGGCTTCCCTCACCTGTGCCCAGGCTTCCCTCACCTGTGTCCTTGGCTTCCCTCACCTGTGCCCTTGGCTTCCCTCACCTGTGCCCTTGGCTTCCCTCACCTGTGCCCCAGGCTTCCCTCACCTGTGTCCTTGGCTTCCCTCACCTGTGCCCTTGGCTTTCCTCACCTGTGCCCCAGGCTTCCCTCACCTGTGTCCTTGGCTTCCCTCACCTGTGCCCTTGGCTTCCCTCACCTGTGCCCTTGGCTTCCCTCACCTGTGCCCTTGGCTTCCCTCACCTGTGCCCTTGGCTTCCCTCACCTGTGCCCTTGGCTTCCCTCACCTGTGCCCTTGGCTTCCCTCACCTGTGCCCTTGGCTTCCCTCACCTGTGCCCCTGACCTCCCCCCCTCCCCCCCCCCCCCCGCCCCAGGGGACGTACCTGTAGCCACAGTACTTGACAAGGTCTGGCCAGTTGTGGTTGTATTCTTTACAAGCGTGGGTTGGGTAGAGGTTGAACAGCTCCTTGAAGATGGTCCCCCTGTGTGGTGTACACAGGCATGGTTACACGTACACAGGCGGCACGTACACCAAAACGCACACGCTCATATCCCACGTGCATACCAGCTCCTTACGATTTCACGTACATCAAATCTTAAGTTTTTTTTTTTTTTACACTGCTTCACTGAATACTAAGATGTAGAACTGCTAAGAATATTGAGTTGAAGGCTAGTATGTTACAATTCACTTAAGATATAATTTGAAAACAAACACACTACTTGTTAAGGTATTATTTTGATGTTCTCAAAGGCTCTTAGCCCCAGCACTCGCACAGTCAGTCCCAACACTCGCACAGTCAGCCCCAGCACTCGCACAGTCAGTCCCAACACTCTCACAGTCAGCCCCAACACTCTCACAGTCAGCCCCAACACTCACAGTCAGTCCCAACACTCTCACAGTCAGCCCCAACACTCGCACAGTCAGCTCCAACACTCTCACAGTCAGCCCCAACACTCACACAGTCAGCCCCAACACTCACACAGTCAGCCCCAACACTCTCACAGTCAGTCCCAACACTCTCACAGTCAGCCCCAACACTCTCACAGTCGGCCCCAACACTCTCACAGTCAGCCCCAACACTCTCACAGTCAGCCCCAACACTCACAGTCAGCCCCAACACTCTCACAGTCGGCCCCAACACTCTCACAGTCAGCCCCAACACTCTCACAGTCAGCCCCAACACTCTCACAGTCAGCCCCAACACTCACAGTCAGCCCCAACACTCACAGTCAGCCCCAACACTCACAGTCAGCCCCAACACTCACAGTCAGCCCCAACACTCTCACAGTCAGCCCCAACACTCTCACAGTCAGCCCCAACACTCTCACAGTCAGCCCCAACACTCTCACAGTCAGCCCCAACACTCTCATAGTCAGCCCCAACACTCACAGTCAGCCCCAACACTCACAGTCAGCCCCAACACTCACAGTCAGCCCCAACACTCACAGTCAGCCCCAACACTCACAGTCAGCCCCAACACTCACAGTCAGCCCCAACACTCTCACAGTCAGCCCCAACACTCACAGTCAGCTTCAGGGAAGACAAATGGAGACCTTTAAGCAATTATTGCAACCAAATTCACTTTTGATCCGACGTCAGCTAATCGTTCCACGACTTAATTTTTAAAGTTTTGACGACTTTGAAGTTTCCTCTCGAGCTGCACCTTCACCCTCCCTCCCTCCCTCCCTCTCTCTCTTTTAGCACCTCTTACCTCACCTCTCCTTCATCACGTTCCCTCTCATCCATCTTCCCTCTCCCCCTCCCTCTCATCTGTCCTCTCTCCGACCTTTCCTCCTCATTTAGAACACCATTACACCATCTCTCAACTTTAAATCCCGTGTCTTTTCTTAAATGAGAGCCCAGTCACTTGGGGTGGACGGTAGGGCGACGGCCTCGCTTCATGCAGGTTGGTGTTCAATTCCCGACCGTCCAAGTGGCTGAGCACCATTCCTTCCCCCCCCTCCCCCCCGTCCCATCCCAAATCCTATTCCTGACCCCCTCCCAAGTGCTATATAGTCGTAATGGCTTGGCGCTTTCCGCTGATAATTCCCTCCCTCCTTGAATGAGGACATCAAATTTAACGATATAACTGAACAGAACTCTAAGGTATTTGATCTCTTGATGTCATCTAAGTCATCTCCCATTGGTCACACTAAATCACGTGACCTGTAAAAGTGTCATTGGATGTTGACCAGACCACACACTAGAAGTTGAAGGGACGACGACGTTTCGGTCCGTCCTGGACCATTCTCACAATCGACTTGAGAATGGTCCAGGACGGATCGAAACGTCGTCGTCCCTTCAACTTCTAGTGTGTGGTCTGGTCAACATACTTCAGCCACGTTATTGTGACTCATCGCCTGTCATTGGATGACATGACGCCGGAGCTGCGCCATGCGCTATCTTCACTATATATACAACTTGCATATACTTAAATAGGCAGTAAACATGTTATAGAGGCGTTATACACTCTACATATTCTTCAGCAGTTCTACATACTGAGTTTTAAAGTACGATCTCACATACATGGCAGAATAGTGATAACATGGACTCGTCACTTTGTACAGCTGTCGCTGCTGTTGCCTTAGACAGTCATGACTGACAACCCGTTGTGCACATGTTTCTCTCTCTCACACATAAACACACACACTCCCATACACATACAAGGAATCTGTACACCAGCTGATTGACAGTTGAGAGGCGGGACCAAAGAGCCAAAGCTCAACCCCCGCAAGCACAAATAGGTGAAAACAAATAGGTGAGTACACACACACACACACACACACACACACACACACACATACCAAGTGCTGATCTCTTGGGCCGTGTACTCTACACGAGGAATCTCTTGTCCACTGCTCCGTCACACCATGGGGGGGGGGAGAAAGAAACTTAATTAGAATCTAACGAAAAAGAGCAATAGAGAGAGAGAGGAGGGAAGTAACAGTCATAACAGAGAAGCAGTAAAATATTTTTTTTTTTTTTTTTTGAGATTTATACAAGAGTTGTTACAGTCTTGTACAGCCACTAGTACGCGTAGCGTTTCGGGCAGGTCCCTGGAATACGATCCCCGCCGCGAACAATCGTTGTTACAACCAAGTACACATTTTACTGTTGAGTTAAACAGAGGCTACAGTTAAGGATTTGCGCCCAGTAAATCCTCCCCGGCCAGGATACGAACCCATGACAAAGCGCTCGCGGAACGCCAGGCGAGTGTCTTACCACTACACCACGGAGACTGTATTAATGAACATACAATAAATACCACTTCAATTTTATTCACATATATAAAATTACTTCATATTAAAACTAAAATACACACACAAAACAACCAGAACAACTAAGAACCTGCTTTCAAGCATCTTGAAAGGATCAGGTATGCCAACAAGCACCAACATAGCTTCATGGAAGGGAAAGCCTGCCTTATATAACAAAGTTATATAACAAAGCAATACAAATAAGACGAGGCAAGGAAGGTTGGCCACATTGTGTATTTCTAGACTGGCCAAAAGCGTGTGAGACAGTTCCACGCAAGGCACTGCTACATATAACTTGAGAGGCAGGCAGGAGTAAGTGAAAGAGCCCTGACATGCGTAAGAGAGACAGATAGGAGATGTAAGACTCCTAACAGATAGGAGTCAGAGAGTCAAAGTGAGGGGAGGAGAAGTTTGCTGATGTAGAGTATCAAGCAGAGTACCTCGGGGGGAGGGGGGAATGGGGGATGATGAGGGGAAGGGGAATAGGGGGATGGGAGGGGGAACAGTGCTGTTACCCATACTTTCTCACTTATGTTGGTGACCCCTAACTACAGGAGCGAATCCTATGTGTTGACGCTTGCAAATAATGCGAAGTTAATGATACGAGTCGAGACAGATGAAGGCTGTTAGATACTCCAGAATGACTTAGACAAGCAGAGTTGGACAGAGAAATAGAGAGCCTAACACAAGCAAGAATAAAGTAATAAAAATAGGAACAGGGGAACAAATGGCATGAGATCAGAAGGACGGAACCCAATTAAGCAAAGTTACCTCCTTGTAACGAGAGAAAAACAACCTGGAATTGGATAAAGCACCGAACCTAACTCTGGAGGCACATGTAAATAGGATACCATCAGCAGCATACTCTACAACGGCGTCAGAACTTTGTTCAGGAACCTAAATAAACAGGCATTTAGATCACTTTACAACGCCTATATAAAATCAGTCTCAGAGTATGCCGCCCCATCGTGGAGAACACATCTCAAACACACAAGTAAACTAGAAAATATTCAAAGAACTGCAATGATGCTCGGAATTGAGAGGGATCGGGGTATGAAGAAAGACTGAAAAAACTAGACCTGACGTCACTAGAGAAAAGATGAGAGTGGAGAGTGATAAAAGTGGAAATGAAGAAATCTTCGCAACGAATATCATTAGGACTCAATCAACACAAAATCAACTCAAGATAGGACAAGAGGGTATGGATGCAAGTTTGAGAATCAGAAAATTCCAAATGTTAGAAAGTTTTTTTTTAACTTAAAAGTGGGAAAATGGATTAAACTAAAGTACAAGGTTGCAGAGGTGAACTCCATTTATAATTCAAAAGTAGATTTTAGAGAGAAATAAGGTAGGATTCTTTACAACAGACAATCAGCGGCCAGAGAGGCGGGGCTCAAGAGCTAAAGCCTGATCTTGCAGGCAAAACTAGGCGAGTACACTCAACCTGCTATCCCACGTCCAGCACTTACCCGCGTCTTGAGCGATTTTTAGACAAATAAAGGAAAAAGCTGTTCCCCCTCAGGACCAGAGCATCGTCAGTGCCCTTATTGGGCAAGTGGCTGAGCTGGGAGGGCAGAGAGGATGGCAGGGGAAGCTGGGAGGGCAGTGAGGATGGCAGGGGAAGCTGGGAGGGCAGTGAGGATGGCAGGGGAAGCTGGGAGGGCAGTGAGGATGGCAGGGGAAGCTGGGAGGGCAGTGAGGATGGCAGGGGAAGGTGGGAGGGCAGTGAGGATGGCAGGGGAAGGTGGGAGGGCAGTGAGGATGGCAGGGGAAGCTGGGAGGGCAGTGAGGATGGCAGGGGAAGGTGGGAGGGCAGTGAGGATGGCAGGGGAAGGTGGGAGGGCAGTGAGGATGGCAGGGGAAGGTGGGAGGGCAGTGAGGATGGCAGGGGAAGGTGGGAGGGCAGTGAGGATGGCAGGGGAAGGTGAGAGGGCAGTGAGGATGGCAGGGGAAGGTGGGAGGGCAGTGAGGATGGCAGGGGAAGGTGGGAGGGCAGTGAGGATGGCAGGGGAAGGTGGGAGGGCAGTGAGGATGGCAGGGGAAGGTGAGAGGGCAGAGAGGATGGCAGGGGAAGGTGGGAGGGCAGTGAGGATGGCAGGGGAAGGTGGGAGGGCAGTGAGGATGGCAGGGGAAGGTGAGAGGGCAGTGAGGATGGCAGGGGAAGGTGGGAGGGCAGTGAGGATGGCAGGGGAAGGTGGGAGGGCAGTGAGGATGGCAGGGGAAGGTGGGAGGGCAGTGCATAATAACAGCAGAGAAACAGCTATTTGGTTGCAATGTTAATGTTAACAGGAACATCAGAGCTATATCTTTCAAATCTTTGTTATACTTAAAAACATAAGAGAGACAGACAGACAGACAGACAGTGTTATAATAACACTAAGAGTGGCTAATGTATCTAAGATTAGTTTGTGTTTATGTATTACACACAATTTATTACAATTATAATATCAGAGGAGATTGGGGTTATCTGTCAATTTAAAGTGTATTGTTTCCACAAACAAAGGATTTGTTACCTGCCACCTACAACACGGGAGCAACACACACTTCACAACACAAAGCATCACAACACATCACAGCAGATCCTAACTAGTACTCACAACTTGTAGCTCATCGCCAGGTCGTAGAAGTAATTCCTCCGCTTTCTGTAGACGGGGTCCTTGAAGCCCTGTACGGAGGCAGGGAGGAGGTGCACAGGTCGGAGGGTAGGAGTGAAAGAGGGAAGGAGGGAGAGAGGGAAGGAGGGAGAGAGGGAAGGAGGGAGAGAGGGAAGGAGGGAGAGAGGGAAGGAGGGAGAGAGGGAAGGAGGGAGAGAGGGAAGGAGGGAGAGAGGGAAGGAGTTAGAGAGGGAAGGAGGGAGAGAGGGAAGGAGTTAGAGAGGGAAGGAGGGAGAGAGGGAAGGAGAGGGAGAGAGGGAAGGGAGGAGAGAGAGAGGGAAGGAGAGAGGAGAGAGAGGGAGGAGGGAGAGAGAGGGGAGGAGGGAGAGAGGGGGAAGGAGGGAGAGAGGGGGAAGGAGGGAGAGAGGGGGAAGGGGAGAGAGGGGGAAGGAGGGAGAGAGGGGGAAGGGGGGAGAGAGGGGGAAGGAGGGAGAGAGAGGGAAGGAGGGAGAGAGAGGGAAGGAGGGAGAGAGAGGGAAGGAGGGAGAGAGAGGGAAGGAGGGAGAGAGAGGGAAGGAGGGAGAGAGAGGGAAGGAGGGAGAGAGAGGGAAGGAGGGAGAGAGAGGGAGAGGGAAGGAGAGAGAGGGAGGAGGGAGAGAGAGGGAGGGGAGAGAGAGGGAAGGGAGAGAGGGAGAGAGGAGGGGAGAGAGGGAAGGGAGAGGAGGGAGGAGAGAGAGGGAGGGAAGGAGGGAGAGAGAGGGAAGGGGAGAGAGAGGGAAGGAGAGAGAGAGAGGGGAGGAGAGGAGAGGAAGGAGGGAGAGAGGGAAGGAGGGAGAGAGGGAAGGAGGGAGAGAGGGAAGGAAATTAAATAATTAAATTGAGAGGGGTAGGAGAGGGGGAAGAGAGGTGTACAATGGAAAGGATGAAACGAAGAACAGAGGATAATGGGGAGCGTAGGAGGAAGGGAGAAAGAGAGGGGGGGGGATTAATATTATTGATATTATTGCTAATGTTATAGGTGGCAAATAAACATATGAATCTACTTTTATTCTCGCGTACAGCATTCAGAACTTTCTTCTCGGCCTTGTTCCTCTTATGTGACTTTCACAAGTCGTTGTTACTGGTGAACATGAACACTAGGCTCTCCAATCTCCCCCCCCCCCTCTCTCTCTCTCTCTCTGCACTCTCCTCTTTCTCTGTCCTCTTTCTCTCTCCCTCTCCCACCCTTTCCCGCTAAACCCAACACAAAGTCACAACCTCTCTCCATGCAATAGTATACGACTCCTGCTTCACCGACCAACATAGTTATCGTTTTAGCAATACTCGCTATATGCCCCTACCTGCATGGGCTAATCAGTGCTCAAGGGGGCTCGAACTCAACATCAAAGGTTGAATGAACCCGTTGTGGGCGAGGTATGGGGCTTCACCTGCCCCCCCCCCCCCACTTCCCTCGCTCGCTCACAGAATATTAAAAAAGACATTAAGTACCTGTGTTTGATGGGATTAAAGTTTTCGCGTTAAAGAAAATGGGAAAGACCCACTGCGAGGGTGGACTTACAACGAATGTTTTGCTTCATACTAGAGGCAATTCAATTACAACAATGATTGTACACAAAATGAATGCTCAAATAAGAACTTTATTCATAATTAAAAATACATTTATAAATGGTTTAATTGACTCAAATTTTGGTATATTATTCATTATTCACAATATGTGAATAATAATAATACATATACTCTTTATAATTGAGAGTTGTGTACCCCACTTCTTCATGGGAATACACGGAGACTATATACTGTAGTCCTTTACAAAGTTCAGGAATAGCATACTACTGTGTTGACCTTAATAACCATTAATTCAGAGGCCGATAAAGGCATCAAGCCCCAACACCAAACCGCGTGACCCGGCACTGCCGGGTATCACATTATGTATATATATATATTTACATAATGTGATATATATATGTGTGCATATATATATATATATATATATATATATATATATATATATATATATATATATACATATATATATATATATATATATACATATGCAACTAACGAGCACAAAACACTGATCATAGGTAATGTGAAAAAAATCAGTGAAATGGGGGTGGGGGGATGACTGTTTCAATGGTTTTTCCTCCTCCCCCTCTCCAACTCCCTATCTCTCAGAAAATGTAAATATTGCCTACAGCCAAAAAATGTGTTAAAATCTCTACCGGAATCAAATCACCGATTTTAGACCAGCCGCAGGCTTCTGGCCTTCAACCTAAAACATTCAATTATTTTATATAATTTAACCAATAAAGACCAAAACCTGATTGATGAAGATTAAGCCACCCAAAAGATGGCACGGGCATGAGTTGCCCGTAAGTGGTGGCCCTTTTGAGCCATTACCAGTATCAAGAGCTGATACTGGAGATGTGTGGAGGTGCGACTGCACCCTGCGTGACGGGAGATGTCTCCCGTGACCAAAACCTAGTTACTGTCACAATTTACAATAGGCCTACTGAAGCTGGTAATAAAATGGTAGGTTTTTATCCACATATTTATTCCTTCCACTGTGTTGCGAGGCATAATAATGGCGGAAATGACACTAAAACTGACGTTGCTGAATATATCAATATTATCTCCGAATAAAGTGTAAAATCACAGCCAGATCTGTGAAAATCTGAGATCGGTGGAGATCTAATTTCGCCACAAAGTAAACAGGAGAAGCGGCTGGAGATATTGGCTTTGAGAATTTGCATACGGGTTAAAACGGGTGCTGAAGGAGAAGAAATATCTCCCCTTCACATACACCGATATAAGGCAAAAAAGTAGTGAATTCTTTAATATACGGGAAAAAAAGCAAATAATGAATATTTATTACAAACTGAATCATGAAAAGAATTAAATTTGGGTTAGTGTACGAGATAAAAGTGAAAGAAAACTTAACTAAACACTCCAAAGAAAACGTAACAAGATAGGAAACTTTCGAATTTATTTTTTAAATTTAAAATGTACATACAGGATGATCAGCGTCGAGGTCGGAGCCGTACATGAGGACCTTCTGGAAGTTGTCGAGGTCACTGATCTTGCGCGGGAACCAAGGGCACAGGTCACTGAAGTCTGATTAGGGGCAGAAGAGTGAAAATATATTTAATGACATAATTCGTTGTATTCACAATATATTTCCCATTTTGCCGGGGACAGGAAGCCTGGACTTAGGCTTGTGTTCAGGTCCCCCCTCCCTCTAGGTCGAACTACTGGCTCTTCACCAGGATGCAACCCACAATAGTTACCTCACTCCCGGGTACTTATTTAATGCTTGATGAACAGGTGAAAGGAATCGTGCTATTTCTGTCCCACCCGAGGATCGAACACTGGAACCCCCGATTGGGAATCGAAAATCAAGTAAGATACTGGATATTTTTATTACTACGAGATATTTTACATATCTCGATATTTTTACGTATACATAATACATGCATATGTGTACATATGTATATACATTAATTTAGTCTTGAAGAGCCGCCAGATTCAGGCAAAATATCGAACTGTACATTGACTGTCTCCTGGCCGGGCGGACAAGCCGAGGCAACCCTGTCCCTGCACCAAGTGTACTCATTGACGGGAAGCAAACGTACAGACCGAATGTTGACCAGTCACTAGAAAGTGAAAAGACGATAACGTTTCGGTCCGTCCTGGACCATTCTCAAGCCGATTCACAATCGACTTGAGAATGGTCCAGGACGGACCGAAACGTCGTCGTCCCTTCACTTTCTAGTGCGTGGTCTGGTCAACATACTTCAGCCATGTTATTGTGACTGTTCGTCTGCGTACAGACCTAATGTTATCTAGTTGCAAATTAAACATGTGAAACGGAAAATCCGGGATTATACACCTCACACACACACACACACACACACACACACACACGTTGAGAGGCGGGCCGAAAGAGCAAAGCTCAACCCCCGCAAAAACACAACTAGTAAACACACACACTCACACTCACACACACACACACACACACACACACACACACACACACACACACACACACACACACACACACACACACACACACACACGAGACTGTTGTCTCACGATTCAGGTTGTTACCTCCGTTTATACGTGTAATTAGTATATACGGTAATTAACAATTAATCACCGGGAATCGCGCACTCACCAAAGCTCTCCTGAGACAAGGGTGTGGGTGGGGGGAAGTCTTCCCCTTTGTCGTAGTCGTGGAGGCTGAGGCATGACATCTGCCTCTGGAGGAGTTTAGTGAGGTCGTCCATCTTCGAGTTGTCGCACTCGATGTCCACCATGATCTCGTACTCGGAGTTGCGGCGACGGGACTTGCGGCTCTCTATGTGCACCACGTTGACGCCTCGCTCCTGCAGGCGCCGGTGGTGATCAGTGGGAGGGAGGGAGAGAGAGGGAGGAGAGGAGAGAGAGGAGAGAGAGAGAGAGAGAGAGAGAGAGAGAGAGAGAGAGAGAGAGAGAGAGAGAGAGAGAGAGAGAGAGAGAGAGAGAGAGAGAGAGAGAGAGAGAGAGAGAGAGAGAGAGAGAGAGAGAGAGAGAGAGAGAGAGAGAGAGAGAGAGAGAGAGAGAGAGAGAGAGAGAGAGAGAGAGAGAGAGAGAGAGAGAGAGCTGAAATGTATGTCCGTGGACTAGAGTGAGGGGAATGAAGCTGCATTGCATGTAGCTTCAGGGTCAAGAAGCAAGGTGTTAAATACATACAATTACAAACGTACACACATCAGCTAAGTAGATAAAGTTAGACCGATAGGTAGAACAATAAATCGCCAGGTAGATAGATAAACATACAATATGTGTCAACGTGAGACCAGGGCGGTGGTGGAGCTGACCTGGAAGACTTGCAGAGCCTTGGCCAGCCCTCCGACTTGGTTTTTGAGGTTGAAGACGACGGAGTTCTGAGAGGGCTGGTAGACCTCTCCAGCACCGCTGTCAGGCGCCGACGACGAGGACGACGAGGACGACGTCGATGACGACGCCAGCGTTCTCGCGGGTGAAGACCTCGTCACTTTGGCGGCCTCCTTCTGGGGCTGAAGGAGGGAGGGAGAGAGAGAGTGGCGAGTGTGGGAGCACGTCAGGCGAAGAATTCACATCCTAGGCCTCCTTATTCTGAAGGAGGAAGGCAAGGGCCGTCGAAGTTACTAGCAATTTAACGCGTTTGACTCCTCTATAATGATGATCACATGCACATTTAAACATATGTATTAAATACTATCAATTAGATAAGGTTCTCATCGCTGAAGCCACACACGCGCCAGGATTGGACGGACATATATAATGATATGCAAGATATTGAAGGATTTCTTATTCAGATTTCTACAGGCGATTCTCATATGTGGGCTTCATGTGATAGATTCGTTATGTCAACCCCGAGATCTTTCTTACCTGATACTTAGAGGTACGTTGTGTTTGCCCGGTATAAGTGTCCGTACGTACGTGCGTGTGTGTGTGTGTGTGTGTGTGCTCTCGGGCCGGGAGAGGTGTGGCCTCACGGTCACCAAACAGCCCCTCGACAGGTCGTAACTTTCGTCACGATGAAAAATAAACAAATTCACCCACACTCGGCCATAACAGTTTCCTTCCGAGGGATCATTAAGAAGCGCGATTGTTATTGTTGCGTGGGACGAGTCGGCTGCTCCCTGTTGCACGGTCATTCAAAAAGAATAATTTTAATTGGCTCATCAAAACAAAGGGTTTATAGCGTCTTAAACATACGGTATAATATTACGTCCTGAATATACAAGGGGGGAAATATATTTGTTCTGATACTATGGTTGAAATATTTAATGTACAGCTTATCTGTGCTTTATCCTTGGCTGTGAGTAATGCTTGGGAGAGAGAGAGAGAGAGAGAGAGAGAGAGAGAGAGGCGGGGGGTGCAAAGGGTGATGGGCGGAATTATCAGGGTAAAGCGCCTAACCATCACTACTATATAGCACTTGGAAGGTTCAGTATAAGGATTAGGGATGGGACAAGGAGCACAGAGCGAGACACAGACAATTGAAGACGCTAACAACACGACCAACTACAGCGGGAGAACATCAGGGAAGGAGCCCGACAGGTCGCCACGACAGGTCACCACCACAGGTCACCACCACAGGTCACCACCACAGGTCTCCACCACAGGTCGCCACGACAGGTCTCCACCACAGGTCGCCACCACAGGTCTCCACCACAGGTCGCCACGACAGGTCACCACCACAGGTCGCCACGACAGGTCACCACCACAGGTCACCACCACAGGTCACCACCACAGGTCACCACCACAGGTCTCCACCACAGGTCTCCACCACAGGTCACCACCACAGGTCACCACCACAGGTCACCACCACAGGTCACCACCACAGGTCTCCACCACAGGTCTCCACCACAGGTCGCCACGACAGGTCACCACCACAGGTCACCACCACAGGTCACCACGACACCACCACAGGTCACCACCACAGGTCACCACAGGTCGCCACGACAGGTCACCACCACAGGTCACCACGACAGGTCACCACCACAGGTCTCCACCACAGGTCCACCACAGGTCTCCACCACGTCACCACCAGAGGTCACCACCACAGGTCACCACTACACCACCACAGGTCACCACCACAGGTCACCACCACAGGTCTCCACCACAGGTCACCACAGGTCACCACCACAGGTCACCACCACAGGTCACCACCACAGGTCACCACCACAGGTCACCACCAAAGGTCTCCACCACAGGTCACCACCAAAGGTCACCACTACAGGTCTCCACCACAGGTCTCCACCACAGGTCACCACCACAGGTCACCACTACAGGTCTCCACCACAGGTCACCACCACAGGTCTCCACCACAGGTGTCACCGCCGAGCGGCCTGCTTGACCTACCTCTAGGCCTGGCCAAGGTACACAACCAACAGACACAACTGCATACATAAGCGGATACATTGCTATACATAGAGACATTAAACAGATACGTATTTAGATTAGGTAAAGAACATCATAATCAAATGTGATAGTACGACCATTTTTCAACTGTGAGGGAAGTTCAACAAACTTTACACACTAAATACATCACGCTTGGCTCTGGTGTGGTAAAACAATGTGATAGAAATAAAGGCAAAAAATTAAAGATATTTAGGAGTGCTATGCAAAGAGTAATTACTAAATGTCAAATTTGGTGAGGTCAGAGATCATAACCTTTGACCTTTGTAAGGTCACAGGTGGCTGATCATATGCTCAGGCGGACAGGTCAGAGGTCAGTAGTCATGAACTCTACTGAGAAGAGATATAACCTCTCTGTTTTCCTCAGAGATAATCTCAAAGTAAACTCACCGAGGTCAATGGTCGTTCGTCATAAATTGTGATCTTGACAGGACTTGCTGCGGTTCACATCTACCTCAGACGACTCAGATGTCTTCGTTCAGTGACTAAAAACACGTGACCACCACCTCGTTTGTTAAGGAACCAAAAAGCCATCAATATCCATCAGGCTAACTATCCCCCTGGTTAGGGAAGGCAAGGCATTCCCTGGTAAAGGAGGCCTGGTCGACGACCGGGCCGCTGGATCGCTGAGCCCCGAAATCACCTCAAGGTAAGGTAACCATCCCCCCCCCCCCACCATGTCGTGATCGAGAGTAAGATGCTCTCGGCCAGACAAGAGACAGTAGAAGAACGTAAGATTGAGGAAGGGGCGAGTATGAAGAAGCATGTAAAGGAAGCTTTGACGGAGAGGTAAAGAAAGATAATTACCAGGAAGAGTGCTAACCTTTGAATGACTAAGGCACTTGAAGGGGAGTTTGTGGACCAGGAGCTAGAATATGAGGGTTGAGTGAGGGAACAGTGTCCAGTCACTTTAACTATCGGGGATTGAGCGCCGCCCTTGTAAGAAGCGAGGCCACATAGCTCTACCGACCCATGTACCACTTTGACAGAGATTTTATACGCTAAAGTCTTTCCTAAGAAACGGAACAGTTCAAGGTAAGAAAGACGCTTTTGATAACATTCAATGTTAAATTCATAATTCAATAATTCATTTTTAAACTTAAAAGCCAATTTAAAATATATTTTTTGAAACCAGCTCTGTATATATTTAAAGAAGGCAACCATGATGAGCTGTTACATGCCTTGACGTTGGTGTAGGACGGACGGAAACCATCTTTTTCCACTTCCTGATGCGTGGTTTGTCATTATATCTTCAGCCCCGTTACTGTCACTCATCGCCTGCAAGGAGGCAGCCATTGCTGCAGCCCATCGTAGTGTTTCAATAATGCATCAGTCCTGAGGGGGCGGCGCTCCTCCTCCTGAAGTATGGCCCATAAATTCCCGCCCGAAATCGAGTTTTCACGATGCGATCATGCCAGACCTCGCCGGTGTAGCCACTACCCACTTTTGTTTAGTCTGCCCACCTCGCTCAAGTACACCAGCTTCTTGTTATTGATTCAGCTACTGGGAACAAAACGTTCCAAGTAGCACGGGCTATGGTGAGCCCGAAGTGGACTTACCTGGCACAGGAGCGGGGCTGTGTGCGAGTACACCAGCCCATGCTGCCGTTTAGATAGTTCTTATAGTAACAATGCATCATACATATATTGACGTAATGGACAATTAGAAAGTAGAATTTGGTACTACTGATTTTGGACAATCTGGAAAAGGTTTTGTATTTATGTTGCTAATAAAACCTAACAAACCTAGGCCTAATACACGTTAAGGCTTAATATAGTTCATATCTGAACTATACTCGGCCTTGGAATATTTAATTTTTTTTTTAGATTAATTCTTATAAGACTATAAAATAAATAGCACCAAATTCTACTATTTAATTGTTCGTTACGTCAATTTATGAACGATGGTTCACATAGTTACAAAAAGAACTATCTCAACAGGAGGATAAGTTGAATATTCCCCCGAAGCTTCGAACACCGACGTCAGCATTTTCAAAACTTAATTAATTTTGTGTTTTGTTTATGCTATCTTGGTTGGTGCTCGGGGAGAGTGGGACGAGGGAATTAAGAAACATTTATCCCACTATGCTCTGGTTGTTGTTCTTCCGACGATGACCGAGGCGTGGATAAAGCCTTGACCAGCTGCGCCGCGGCATGATTGCGCACGACCTCCCCTCCCTCCCCCCCCCTAAACCAGCCATATAACTTTACACGGTGTTAGTTGTCACAGAGGTTTTTAGTATCCAGTGTATTGAAAAGTAGTTAATAACTACCCAAGAAATTTAGGGCAATTACCCTGACGTGCAGTTTGGAGGGTGAAGGATGGAGGGGGGGGGGGGGTGAGGGGGCACGGGTAGGGGAGTAGTGGAGGGGGTTGGTGGGGTTAGGGGAGGAGGCAAGTCTCAATTGCGTCACTTAAGTTGATGCCACCCGACGCTTGAGTAACTTAGGACAAATCACCTCTGGCCGTCTTGAGAGTCATAAGTTCCGTCGTTTATCGTGGCGTAGTCGTAGCTGTTGACGCTCCGAGGTCAAAGGTCGCACTTCACGGGAGATAAGCAGGTCCCTCAGGCTCGTTAGTGAGTGGCAAGAGGCCTCGCTTACGGGGTCCTCGGGGTTGTTGTCTGCGGTTTTGTCAATGGTTCGTCTCACTGATTTATTTACAATCTTCACGGTGGTTTCACCGAGTTATTAACGATAGTTCATCTTGAACCTTCGTAATACTCGTCTAAAAGAGCGCACTCAAAATCAACTGCCAAACGATCATTAATTCTGTTATCAAATCCCTGTCTTTATAAAGGATATTTTGCTTCACACACACACACACAACCTGTAACTGATTACGTTTCAACTTTTCATGAAGAATGCTTCAGTCTCTTCCTGTGAACCAATCACGCCTCTTAACATTCATACCTGCATACCTATATACAAATAATTGCCCACAAAATCAAGACACCTAACCTAACCTATCCTAGGTCTAACTGTTAGCACTAATACACACTTATACCTCTTTATACTAGAGGACATATTGCTTTTGGTTACACAATATATTAACCTTTACCAACGTGTCGATGGTGACCCTCGCAGCTAGGACGAGTATGTTGACCAGA